CTCCTCCTCCTGCTCCTCGGGTCGCCTGCGGCCCCGGGGGAAACCGTGCAGGGATTGGCGACGGGGGCTTCCCCACGCCCGTTTTAGCTCCATGTCGGGCCCTGGGACTCTCACATATCGATCTGGCTCGAAGAGTGACGCAGAAAGATTGGGTCCGGGTCTCCGGTCGTGATTTTTTTTGCCCTCCGAGCCTGCGGTGGAGGCCCCGCCGCCATCCCCCCCCAACCCCCCCCCGCCGACGTGGCCCGCGTGCAGCTCCCAGCGGAGGGCCGGGAGCAGTTCCGGGGCCTCGGCTGCAGTTCGGGTGGCCACCCGCTGCTGTTTGCCCGTGGCACGGGCCGGTCTGGCACCGAGGACGAACGAAGCAGCCATACGCCAAAAGCGCGTGGGCAAGGAAAACTAGAGCGACATGCCAAACGCGCGCGAGAGCAGATGATTACGCGCGCGCGCGCCAAGCGCGCGCCAACCTGGCCTGGACGCGCCAGGTGCGCGCCGAGCCAACGGCCTGCTTTTTTGTGTCTTCGGGGCCTCTGGCTCCGGGTATGGGCCCCGTCGGGCCCTCCTTCGGCCGCGCCTCCGTGGGCCTGCGTCCTCGGGCCCGCGTGGGCAGCTGCGGCGGGTCGAAGGTGGTCGTTGGCCCCTTCTCAAGGGCTCCCACGAGGGCGCGAAGTTATTCGCGCTTCGCGCTTCGCGGTCCTCGTTCCTTCTCCCCCTCCTCCTCGTCCTCCTTTTCTCCCTTTGGGGGGGCGGCGCGAGGGCGCGAAGTTATTCGCGCTTCGCGCTTCGCGGAGCGCGAAGCGCGAAGTTGGGAGCCCTAGCTTCTGCACGGAGGGTCTGCGCCCTGGTGCAGGGAAGGTCCTGCAGGACCTGCGCCTGGACCCGCCGGCAGGGGAGGAGGAGGAGGAGGAGGAGGAGGAGGAGGAGGAGGAGGAGGAGGAGGAGGAGGAGGAGGAGGAGGGGGACGAGGAGGAGGCGGAGGTGGCAGGGAGGAGGAGGAGGACGAGGAGGAGGCGGAGGAGGAGCCCTCCGAGGCCAGCGGGGAGCACCCTGGGGGGGCTGCCCGTGCGCACCCCGAGGACACGCGTGTGCGACCGGCTTCCACGTCTGGGGCCCCCAGGGGGCCATCCATCCCCCCCACCACAGCGGCTCAGGACGTGATTCGGGGGAAAACAAACCTCCCTCGCTTTTGACCACCCTCGCTTCCAAGGGATACCAAACGATGCCAAATTGCACCCTGTACTGGTCAGGCCGCTTGACGAGGAGGCGCGTGGTATGACTTGGTTTTGCCTGGAAGCGAAAGCGGGGGAGGTAATTCACGCTCTGAGTGATGGCTCAGGACGAGCTGGCGGGGGGTGGGGTTGGGCTCGGGGGCGTTGGCTGTCTCGAGAGCTGGGGGTCCCGAGCCGTTGTGCTGACGGCGCTCGGTCTGGAGGAGCATGGGCTTCCAGACGTCTTCGCTTTTTCGTGCGGACGCCGAGGATTCAGAGGAGGCCTCTGACTCTGAGGCTTCCGATTCGGGGCCAGGTTCGGCCCGCTAAACTGGCTTCTGGCCGCTGCCTCATCTTCTCATTCTGCTCTGCCTTCCTCGTCCTACCCCTCGTCGCCCACCCCTTCGGCGCTCGTCGCCGCTCCTGCAGGGTCGTCCACCCCAGCGGCGTTCTTGGGCGGGCGGGGCGCCTTGCTTGAGAATCCATCCGCGTCTATGATTGTGTGAAGCTTGTCGCGCGCACTCGTTTCAAAGGCTTGCAGGAGCTGCATGGATGGAGGGCTGCTCGCTGTCAAAAGGTGGCTATTACCTTGGCTCCGCGCGCGTTCGTTCAAAACGCTTTGAGAAGTCTCAGTGGTTCTGATGGTTGACGTCGCAGGAGTGGTGTCCCGGCACGGTCTAGAATTGTCTGCGGTAGGTTAGTGTCGTGTCGACCGGCGGTGACCCCGCCGGCGGCGACCCAGAATCGTTCGATGTGGAACGATTTGGACGTTTCGGAAACGGCCGATCGTTCAAGGTTGAACGATCCCCGCGGTGTCAGAAACCAATGCCGGGGTCGACACGACGCGAACCTGCCGTGGGCGCATCGGTCACGCTGATCCGCGGCGTTGAAGTCCCAGGAGTGCTGCAGTGGTACGATTCAGCATCGTCGAGATCTGCGGCGCTGCAGTTCCAGGAATTGCATTTTTCAAGGACCCACACATGTACGTCACCACCTCGGGCTGGTTTTCTGTCATGGGGGGTTGATCGGATTCTTGTTTCGGCGGTGGGTTGCAGGGTGCGTCAAATCTCGTGGTCATGACACGTCGCGTGTGCAGCGTCATTTGGCCCCTTCACCGTCCCCTGCGCCACTTCGGTGCTCCCTCGGCACACCACGCTCGCCCGCGCCTCGTGCCGCCCTGCCTGGCTCCCCGGCCCCCGCACCCGTCGGTGCCTCCCCCTCTCGGCGGCGGCTCCGCGCGGTCTCGTCCTTCTGCGGTGCTGCTCCGCCCCGCTCCCGCGGGCTACCGGGACGCCATGCCCGCCGCCTCCGGCACCTCCTTCTCTCTGCCCAGGCGCCCCCCTATGGCTGCCCTGGGCAGCCACTGTCCCCCCCCTGCGCGACGCGGCCCGGTCGCGTCGCCGCTCTCCTGGGGGCCCCTCGCCTCTGCCGCCTCGCTGGTGTCTGCGGCCTGCGGGCGCCTGTGGAGCGCTCTCCTGCCCTCGGCATCGCTCGGACGTGTGCATGTTTCCTTCGGCGAGGACAGTTGAGGAGCATCCTTGATCATGTGGCGAAAAACCCACGCACGAAAGCCAAAAAATATCACAGGGAATGGACGTCCGAGCCATGGCGAGTGCCTCCCGCCCCGCCCCGCCCGTCGGCCCCCTGGCCTCGGGCGGTCGCGCAGTGTCCCCTTCACTGCCCGCGCTTCGCTGCTCCCGGCCCCGTGCGGCCCAGGGCTGTGCGTTCTCCCTTCGGGGCGCCGCGGTGCGTCGCCAGCGGCGTCTCCTGCGCTCCCCTGGCCCCTGCCTCCTCCTCCTCCTCCTCCTCCTCCTCCTCCTCCTCCTCCTCCTCCCTCCTCCCTCCTCCCTCCTCCTCCTCCTCCTCCTCCTCCTCCTCCTCCTCCTCCTCCTCCTCCTCCTCGCCAACCTTGCCCCTGTGGTTCGCCACGGTCGCCCACCGCGCTCCGGCCCGGCGCGCATCGGGCTGCTGCCGCCCGCCAGCTGCTCATCGTCGAGCTCTTCGGGGTCTGAGCGTCCCTGGTTCCTCGTCGGCCTCCGCCCTGCCTCCCTGCACGCCGGCCAATTCGCTAGCTATTGTCCCTACCTAGTTGTTACGCTGGTGCGGATTTCGCCGCCATGCCGCTTACGAGCAAGAATGCCCAGCGTCATTTGAGCACGCGCTTGCATGCGCACAAAAACACACATTCACGTTGTGAATCTTTCTGGGTGGTGTATACAATTTCACGGGGGGGCCATCGTGTTTATAAACCACCACCGTGTTGCCATAGGGCGCCTGGGAGCAATTATTCACGACCGAATGCGGCCGCCATCTGCGCGCATGACCACGTGACAAGTACTTGCGTTTGACAGGTGCAGGCAGTGATGCCCCTGGCAGGCGGTCGCGCGCAGGATGTTGTCCTTTCCTGTGGCCGCCTGGTGGTGGTGTATATACTGGGGCCCCGCAGTTCGGGCACCATGGAGAATTCTCAAACGGTTGTCTTCCCACGGGGCCCTTCCCGCAGTGACAGTAAAATGTGCCAGGGAGCTCGGGAGAGGGGAGTTTGGAGGGAGGGCTGTGTGCAACATCCTTGATGCGTCTTGGGTCTGCACAGGTGAGGCCAGCAACATATGTACACGTACGCGGTTAGTTTCCCCTGGAGTGCGTGTCAACGCGAAGGTTCGTGCAGGTAACACCGCTGAGGGCGTACATGTACATATGTCGTTGCTCGCCCGCCCTCCTCGCCCCCTTGTGCCTGGCAGGCGGCGGAGGCGGCGGGCAAACCAGAGGCCGAAGGCTCCACGCGGAGGAGAGCGGCGGAGGCCTCGGCCGCGAAGGCGGCGGCGGAGGCGGCGGAGGAGGCGAGAAGGGCGGTGGAGGCGGAGGGGGCGCGGCGGGCGGCGAAGAAGGCGGCGGAGGCCGAGGCCGAGAGGTCGGCGAAGAGGGCGGCGGAGGCCGGGAGGGCGGCGAAGAGGGCGGCGGAGGCCGAGGGGGCGGCGAAGAAGGCGGCGGAGGCCAAGGCCGAAGCCGAGGCCGAGAGGGAGGGGTGCCATGCTCTCGTGCTCCGTCCCCCGCGCGGCCGCCCTCGCCGTGCAGGGGGCGGGCCCTGAGGCAAGCGGGACTTCCGAGGAGGAGTAGGCTCAAGTCGGGCGTGTCCCTCTACAAGGGGGGGGGGTTCGACGATGTTCGACGAATGATAGGGGGGAGATGTTCCTACAATGTCTGATCATTCTGGTGCATGTTCGCCTATTGATTAAACTTGTCGTCCAGGATCCGTCTGTAGGAGGACGTGCCCGACCTGAGAGCAGGCACCGATGCCGCTACCGTTCCCTCGCTGTCGCCTCGATGGAGCTCCTGGGAGGCCCCCGTCGCCACGGCTGGCTCCGCCTCGCGATGATCCCAGGCAGGGCGCGCCTCGGAAGGTGCTCGGGGCGTGTAGCGGTATCGGTAACGTGCTGTCCCCCCGCAGGTCCTCGGATGCTTCGCCCTCCACGGGCTCCTGGGGGTCGTCGTCGTGGTCGTCGACGGCGACGACCACGACGACGGCGACCACGACGACGACGACGACGACGACGACGACGACCACGACCACGACCACGACGACGACGACGACGACGACGACGACGACGACGACCACGACCACGACCACGACGACGACGACAACGACGACGACGACGACGACGACGACGACGACGACGACGACGACGACGACCACGTCGACGAAACGATGGCTCTCGAGGTGGGCCCTGGGGTCCAAAGCCCGCCATCCTCAGGAGCAGCCGTCTCCTTCTTGGCAACCTCTTTCCCTCATCCTCTCCGCTTCCTCCCCTCCGCTTCCTCCTCCTCCTCCTCCTTCTCCTCCTCCTCTTTATGTGAGACCAATATGAGCATGAAGCTGTGGCGTTTGCCCTCTTCCTCCTCCTCCTCCTCCTCCTTCTCTCCCTCCTCCTCCTTCTCCTCCTCCTCCTCGTCCTCCTCGTTGCTCCCCCCACGTCTCCGCTCCGACTCCTGGGGGATCCTGCTTCTTCCCGAAAACATGCGGTACCGTCCCTTCCCTTGGGACTTCGGGCTTGAAATGCACACGCGTTCATATCCCCAATTTGCTGGGGATGTGAGGTGTACAAGGTTTAGTCGGCATGCGTGCTACCCGTGACAGGGGCCTTGGGAGGAGTCGTCGCTTCAGACGGTTCTTGCCTTCAGAACCGGCCTGAGAGGCACAATAGGGCAGGATGGGTCTTGGTTAAGATAGGCAGCCATAGCCGAGTTACTGCTCAGGTGTAAGGCAGTGCAGGCGATAAGGTACCTCACACATCCACGGCTGGGGAACATCTGGCGGTCCTCTCAGATGCGTTGTTGATGCCCTGTGTCACGGAAGCCCGCCCGCGCGTTTCAAGGCGTCGCCGGTCCGCATTCGAAGGGCCGCCTCAGCTTGTGCAGCAGGCCATGCCTGCACTCTGGCACTTGCATGGTTCGGGGGAGCGTAAGACCCGGGTTTGCCAGGACTCGGGTTCGCCATCGTTTTTTGACGACCGCGCCTCGGATTTTGACGAGGAGGAGTTTCGTGGGATGTCTGCAGCGGGAGGCCTCGTCAAAGTGCAGGCTCGGCCTCGTCATTTTTTTTTGACGACCTCATCGGGGATTTCCGGGTCCCCTGTACCCAGGTCTTACGTCCCCCTGAACAGACACAATGAATCGTCGAGTCCCCCGAAAATATGGGGAAATATAGGAAGTGGGGGGGGAGGCAAAAACCCAGAAACTACAGGAAGGTATGGGGCATATTTGTTTGTGTGTGTTTTACGGGTCTTACGTCTCCCCGAATGGTGACCCGCAGGCTGGAGATGGACTCCACGAGCGGCGAGCACATCCGTGCATGGTGCCCTCGCGGCCCGGAGAGTCCGGAGGGCGCCATGCCGCGGAGGCGCGGCCGCACGCGTACCTTCCGCGCGAGGCACCCGTGAAGACACGCGCCCGGGGGCCCGCGGACGCACCCGCGCGACGCACCCGCGGACGCACCCGACGCGACGCACGTGTACCCTCCGCGCGACGCACCCGCGGACGCACCCGTGAAAACACGCGCCCGTGAAGACACGCACCCGCGCGCCGCAGCCGCGGGGCCACGGCCCGGGGGCCCGGCCCGCGATGCCGCGGACACGGCCAGCTGTCTTGCCCACGACGTTCGAGGTCCCTGCCAATGCCGGCCCCGCACACGTAGCCCCTGCAGTGCCCATTTTATAATACATGCTCCGCGTGCGGATCACGTATTCGAAATGCACGGATCTGGTATTAAAAAACAGGAGTTCATGCACAAATTTATTCATGTATCAAAAGTCATATATTTTTCACATCCCGATGCGGATCCCGCGGCGGCCCAAGACAGGAGGTCGGACATTGCCGCCTTCGGGCCGATCTCGAGTGTATCACCTCTCTTCCTCCTCCTACTCCTCCTCCTCCTCCTCCTCCTTTTCCTCCTCCTCCTCCTCCTCCTCCTCCTCCTCCTCATCCTCCTCATCCTCCCCCACACTCCTCATCCTTGCTCCTCCTCCCCCGCACTCCTCCTCCGCCTCCGAGACGTACGGTCGGATCCAGGTATAAGATCGAGGTCGGCTCGGGGGGGTGCGCTCGTGCTCTTCGTGTTGGTTGGATGCTAACGTGCACACTGGGGTTGGGGATCCCCTCGGATGCTCTCCGGTTTGGCCGGCGGAGGGTTTTATGTTTTTGAGGGATGTTCTTCTGTCCTGGGTCCAACTGTAATGTCGGCCCTCCCGAGCTCCTTGTAAGATCGAAGCGGAGGCCATCGAGGACAGCAGGAGTTGGCATGGGAGTGGGATTCATTGCCGACGTCCTAGGGCTACGCGCTGCCTCAGGACTCCTCCCCATCTGCTCATCCTCCGCCTCCTCTCCGTCCCGTGCTCCTGCCATTGCTGCTGCTTTTCCAGCTTATTCTATCCTCACCCACCCCCTTCCTTCGAAGGTTGCTCCTCCTTCACCTCATCCTGCCCATCCTTCTCATCGTCTTCCTCCTCCTCCTCCTCCTCCTCCTCCTCCTCCTCCTCCTACTCCTCATCCTCCTCCTCCTCGTCATCATCATCATCATCATCATCACCATCCTCTTCAATCTCGTCCTCAGCCCATTTCTCATTACATTTCTTATCTGGCTCCTCCTCGTCTTCCTCTTCACATTCCCCGGACTCCCGAGAGCATCCACGGAAGCACCCTTAACACATGTTGTCGCGGTAGCCCGTCTTTGGCAAGTCCAAGCATGTCATTCCCGACAGTTGGATACGATTGCTCCCAGCTGCGCCTATGAGCCTCGAACGGACTTAAGATCTTTGAGTAGGTGGGAATTAGTTCTCTTGTCGGCAACCTCATTGATGGACTGGGCCCCCTCCAATAGCAGAAAATTATTATATCTCGCGGAATGCTGCAGGGTGTGGCCCTCACGAGGGCCTCCCCGTCCTTCGTCACCTTTTTCTGCCTCTCCTCCTTCTCCTTCTCGTCGTCCTCCTCCTCCTTCTCCTCCGCTTCCTTCCCTCCTCCTCATCCGCAGGAATGAGACGAGGAGGAGCAGGAGCAGGACAAGAAGGACGAGGAGGATGAGCAGGAGGAAGGGGAGGAAGAGGAGCAGGAGGAAAAGGAAGAGGAGGAGGAAGAATAGGCCTCAGGAGGAGGATGGGCGGAGCTCATTCGCCTCCGAGAGAAGCATTGTGGGGCCGGGGGGGCAGGACTAAAGACCTCCTGAGGATAATTATTAGCTCAGCTTCCCTCGCCCCAGCGCCCAGAGGCCTCCGAGTCGGAGTCCGACAGCGACAGCAAGGACTCCCCGAGCGAGGACGAGGCCGACCCGCTTGGGATCGAGCGCAGCCGGAGCAGGGACTACCAGTCCAAGGCGGGGGGTGCGGCAATATGTTCTGGGGGAGCGGTCGCGGTCAGTCGGGTCCAGAATCTCGCCGTGAAGGAAGCTCAGCATCGTTTAACCAATCCCTACCACCTTCTCCATCCCCGTCCAGATCCCGACCATCCCACCACCCTCGTTGGGAATTTGGCCCACGAAATTCGAAGGGAACAGCCTATATCCCCATCTAGGGGGATAAATCGGCCGGTGGGGGCCCGGGCCACGCCCGTCTTGAGGAGCACAGGTCTTCTGCTTTTTGGGGCTGTCTTCGGGCCCCAAGGCTATCCAGAGCGAAGAACTCTGGTCCTCGGGGATGGCCCCCGGGTTCAGCACTCCTTTCCCACAGGACCCATCTTGCTTCATGCCACGGATCGGGATACTGTGGAGGCCCATGCCACGAGACCCCTTGCTTGCCTCCGGGGTGCCCTGGGTTTCTTGGGTTCCGACGGTTCTGCTATGGGAAGCGTGACGTGCCCACACCAACAGTCAGTGGACGCCCTGGGGTCTCAGGGTTGGGTGTCTTGTGGAAGGCGTCTTGTGGTCGAGCCCCTACCGGACAGCGCTCCAGAGCGTTCCGGAGCACTCTTTAGCGGACGCGGCGCCTGGGAGCGGGCGCGGTCAGTCAGGCCTGGGATGATGTCGGGCCTGTCCTTCTACAGGGGGGATACCGTATACCCAAAAATACCCCCAAACATAGTCTGGGGACTGTTCGTTTAGTATTTTTGGGCATCTTCTGAGAATTTGTTGGGATATTTTTTATTTTTCATCCAAAAACCCTTGTAGGGGGACAGGCCCGACCGAAGCCTGGGATCGGGACCTCCGAGGATCTGATGTCTTCCGCCCCGCCCTCGGGGGCCGCTCCTGGGCCCCTCAAGCCATGGTGTCGGGATCTCGGGTGCCACTGGTGGAGCACCATCCGACTGGTGGATGTCAGGGCTGATCGCTCCAGAGCGTTCCAGAAGAGGAGGGGGAGGAGGATGGGAAGGAGAAGGAGGAGGAGGAGGAGGAGGAGGGGGAGGGGGAGGGGGAGGAGGAGGTGGAGGAGGGGGAGGGGTAGGAGGAGAAGGCCTGGGATCGGGAAGGGGTAAGGGCTGCGCACGAAGAGGGCGCCCCAGGTAGCCCGTGGCGGTCTCCGCAGCCATTGCGGCTGAAGCTCGCAAACGTTTCCTTGGCGATTCGGCCTTGGACGCAGCTGAGGGGAAGGCTGTGCGTCGCGCCGTTGGAGTGAAGGCCTCTTGCACACAGACGTGCGCTACAGCACTCTTCTTTCATCGGAAACTAGACCGTATACATTACCAGTGGCGGGCTGTTTTCATTTCCAGGACTCTTTGAGGGTCGGAGACGACGTCGGGGCGAGGTGGTGTATAGTTGTTTGTTCCGCTTCCTGGGAAAGCAACGAAACAAATATACACCAGGGTCCCCTATGCACCAGGATCCGCTTTCCTATGCGAATTTCAGTGCAGGGCCAACAGAATGCGTCGGTATATATATAGAGAGAGAGAGAGAGAGAAAGAGAGAAAGAGAGAGAGAGAGAGAGAGTTCGGCTCCATACTTCAGGCCCCCACTGTACGAAGGCGCTCGTTCCAGTCTTGCACCGTGCTGCTGCCACATAGGTGGTGGACGCAAGGCGGACCGTCGTGTGCAGGAGCGCTCATCGAGTTCGAGCCTCTCCTCGCACCGCGGCTCACGCTGCCGCTCCCCGAGCACCGAGGTCCCCCTCACCCGGGCGACGGAGTTCAAGCTCTGCGCCCACGAGCAGGAGTGATCGCGAAAATGTCAGCATACTGGACGTGCCACACACTGGCGCGGTGCCCACATCCCACCCACCCTAGAAACCTCGAAACCCATTACATATCAAGACAAACACTCTGGCGCATGCAAGCCATCGGGGAAGGCCGCGTGGATCAGCGAGGAACAGGAAGGAGCAGCGCGGAGCACGCGGGAGGAACAGCAGGCAGGAGGAACGGTGAGTCTGGTTCTGCGCCTTCGGAGCCACTGGTCTGGGCGCCATGTGAGCTTAAGAATACCAGACAGAACACCGAGCGGTGGGCGTCGCTCGAGACTACTGTTCATGTTGGGGTTGGCCAGACGACAGAATCCACTTCACAGCATGATGAGAGAGTGCTGGTGCTATCGACGCGCACGCAGGAGGTAGAGGCTGCACATCATGGTACAATCGCGAATGCTATGTCAGTGGCGATGGATGTCAACATGGCCAGCGTGCAGTCGCATATTACGGAAATGTGTTCGACTCACCGCGCATGGGACGCACTTTCAGACGGGAAGCGTTAATGGTGAGGTAACCAATGCGCTCCGACATCGAAGCATAGCCGTACCACAATCAAGGCATTTGTTATGTCAAGGAAGGCTGTCTTTGAGTTTCCATCCGCAACCAAGTTCTCGGAGTCTCTCAGGAAGTACGCAGACTTGGGACAGACACTTTCCCAAACAGCTTGCGCAGGCGGTGGCACGCCAACTCAAAGGGGAAGCGGGACGTAGGGTCTTAGAGTTGCAATCTTTTTGTTGTGGTGTGCAACGCTTGCAAGATCAACATCACGGGTGCACCCCGTGTGCGGCATGGAGTAGGTTCCAATGGCTTTGGCGGCACGGTATTCGCGATGTTCTCTCCCGGGCATCCGATCACATGGGTGCATGTCACGCTTGACGGCGATAGCGGTGAGCACGCCATCGATGGACAGGTGTTCTTGAGTTTCGGGGTCCAGGGTGTGCTGCCGCAGGTGAGGGTGGCGCTTGCCAAACCCTGTCCCTTTTGAGCGGGGGTTGCGCCGCATTCACCAGTTGCGCTGCGCAGGTGCACCTCTGCTGGCTTTTCTTGTGCGTGCACGCGAAGATGGGAGCAAGGAGACCTGTTCCCTGGTGCTTCACACGCAGCGAACCACGCATATAATTATGTGTGCTGGAAATCTCGTAACTCACGATTTCTTCATGCTCTAACGAAAAAATGGCTTTGGGCTATAGTTTTGGCATACCAACTTGGGACTCCTGATGTTGTTTTTGACCTCCTGTGTGTTGGTGTGTACTTAGACCACCAACGGGCTATTTGGGGCGAAGCATTGGGGTAATTCAACTTGTGCGATGAAGCATAAGTGCGCTTTGGGGTTTGTCGTAAGTGCGGTGCTGCTTGTTTTCAGGACTGTCATGGGCATGGGGGGGTGCTATTGCGTTGATGCGTTTGCTGGGGGGGAGGCGGCTCTTCAGTCAGTCCGAGTTTTTTGCACTCGGCGGCATCTGGTAGAGCTGTCGCTGTGCTGAGTGCTGGTATGCGTGCGCAATTTCCACATGTTTCGCATGCGGTGATCCCGGATGGGCGAAGGCTCGCCGCATGTTTGCAGGGGGAACGGGGCCTACTCATCGCTGTGAAATGCCATACGCCGAATACGGACCAGGGTCTTCCCATATCTATGCGCGCGCCTCGCGTAGCATTCAAGCCGCTGTCCCGAGTCCCGCGCGTGCGTTGAATGCGATGCCTAGGGGTTGAAGTTTCACGTGTTGGGCTGACCGGAGGACTTCTGGAGACGGGGAAGCTTGGAGGTGAGGGGGGCCTAGCACCACGACTAGTTCCATCGGATACCTGAGGCCTGGCCTGGACCTTTTCAGCGTGAACCGACGCGGCGAGGTTGAACTGTGGAGGTGGCTTTGCAGCGCCCAGTTAGGCTTGATTGGGTTGGCTGCGACGCCACCAGTGCGATGTGTTCCGACGTGAGGTCGCCCGTCCAGTGCGTGGTTCGTTTGAGCAGCTCCCCTCGGCGACCGCCGACCGTTTGTGTGTTAAGGTCGAGTGTGATCGCCCGAAGCGGCAGGAGAGTGTGCCGGTCTGGTTGCGCTGCGCGCCCGAGTTTCAGGATTGTGTTGGGCGTCTTGTTGCCGAGCGTCCTGCTAACGTGAGTGCGACGGTCCGCGTACAACAACCAGAGGAACAAATCTGGGCTGCCATCCCTAGGATCCGACAGGCCATTTGGGCACGTCCAGCTGGGACCTTGAATAAAAGCACCACTGCAGTACGCATGCGATTCGAGGAGGTACGACGTGCATGATTTCACCTTTGCGCTCGAGCGTTCGTGGTCTATGCGGTCATCAAATGCCTCTTTTCAATTTGAGTTTGACATGCACGGATTGTCCAGGCCTGTATTTGCATGCAAGCATGCCTCAGATGGAGCATCGGGCGGAGCCAGTAAGGGAACTTGAAGAGGGTGCTGCGAAGGAGTATGAGGGTGGTGAGGTGGTTGAGCGTTCCATGCAGAAGTCACAGCAACGCAGAGCTTTTTGGCAGCAGTTTAGGAGGCGCGTTTTCTTGAACTGTGTCCGCCGCTCTGGCGGCGCGGTTTCCGCCAGTACCGAGGAGGGCGGGAGGTACCTAATTAGCGGAGCGAGGGCGCCTTCTGTGAGCGCTTGGACGGAGGGGTGGTTCGAATCCCCTCCCCCCCCGCGCCCCCCCCTCGGATCCAAGGGGGGGGGGCGTTCGAACCCCCCTCTCCCTGTGGATCCGAGGGGGAGGGGGTTCGAACCACCCCCCCCACCCTCTCCGGCGATGCGGTTGCGAGAATGTCTCGAGCGCGGCGCCGCGATTGCGAGGATGTCTCGAGCGGCGGCGCCGCGGTTGAGAGGATGTCTCGGGTGGCGGCGCCGCAGTTGTGAGGACGTCTCGAGCGCCCGCGCCGCGGCTGTGAGGATGTCTCGAGCGCCAGCGCCGAGGTAGTGCGGCGGGTGTCTCGAACGCTCGCGCCGCGGTTGTGCGGATGTCTCGAGCGCCGGCGCCGCGGTAATGTGAATGTGTCGGGCTCAGGCACCGCGGTTGTGAGGACGTCTCGAGCGCCGGCGCCGCGGTTCCGAAAATGTCTCGAGCACGACGTTGCCGCGATTGTGGGGATGTTTCGAACGGTGACTTCTTGCGCGCCGCCTTGCTCTGGGAGTTCGGAGCAAGGCGGCGCGAAAGAACGCAAACCGAGTTGCGTTTCTCCGCGGCGCGGGTGCGAGCTGGGATTCAGCCGGGTCGAAGCGCAACTCGATTATGATTTTTGCGCGCCGCCGTGCTCCGGAACTTCCAGAGCAAGGCGGCGCGCAAGAAGCTGCCGCTCGAGACATCCCCACAGTCGAACGGGGATTGACCCGGGCCGAAACGAAACTCGATTTGCATTCCTACGCGACGCCCTGCCAGAGCAAGGCGGCGCGCAAGAAGCCGCCGTTCGAGACATCCCCACAATCGAACTGGGATTGGCCCAGGTCGAAACGCAATTCGATGTGCATTCCTGATCGCTGTTTGCTCCGGAACTCCCTGAACAAGGCGGCGCGCAAGAAGCCGCCGCTCGAGACACCCCCACAACCGCGGCGCCGCGCAGCGCGTCGCATTGATCCAGAACAAAGCGGTGCAAGAATGCGTCGTCGTCGTCGTCGTCGGCTGCCGGCGGCGAGGATATCTCGAGCGGCGGCGGCGGTTGATAGGATGGTTCGAGCGGCGCCGCCGCGGTTGCGAGGATGGCTCGAGCGGCGGCGCCGCGACGACGACGACGGACGACAAACAACGACGACGGACGATGGACGACGGACGACAAACGACGACGACGGACAACGACGACCCCGACGACGACGAAGACGATGTCGACGACGACGACAACGAAGGCGACGGACGCCGACGACGACGACGACGATGATGAAGACGACGACGGACGACAGAACGATTGAGCTGGGATTCGGCCGAGTCAAAACGCAACTCGATTATGATTCTTGCGCGCCGCCTTGCTCCGGGCTTTCCGGAGCAAGGCGGCGGCAAATCGAGTTGCGTTTCGCCGAGGCGCGGTGGTGAGCTAGGATTAAGCCAGGTCGGAACGGAATTCGATCATGATTCTTGCGCGCCACCTTGCTGTAGAATTCTCGGAGCAAGGCGGCGCGCCATAATCCCGCCAGAACCACGCCTGAACCACGCCAGACCAGTATCCCGGCGCCGCGGTTGCGAGGATGTCTCAATCGGCAACGGCGTGGCAGGGGGGGTATGGGGGGGGGGGGGTCGAACCGCATGTGGGACCAATGCCAACCGACTGGGACCAATTACAACCGATTTTATGGAGATGATGATGCTGCTGATGATGATGATGACGACAATGACGATGGCGATGACGATGACGACGACGATGATGATCCTGCTGGTTTTTGATGATGGCGATGATCATGATGATGATGCTGACGATGATGATGACGATGATGATGGTGCTGATGATGATGACGGTTGTGGAAGTGGTGGGGACGATGCGGAGGAGGAGGAAGATGATGATGGGCACGAGGATGATGAGTGTGCTGAGAAGACAGGAGGAGGAGGAAGAGCAGTAGGGGAGCAGCAGGAGGAGGAAGAGGAGGACAAGGAAGGCAGTCACAAGTTACCCCGTGCGTCTTTATTATTTTCGGTGTCATCGTGGAACTTGTCTGAACCGTCGTGCTCAATTTGGGGCTCGTAGGTATCTTGACCCCTCCATTCCTATCCTCTTGCCTTCGTCAGTGCAGCGTGCAGCGCGGCATGAACATTGAACATTGGCTTCTCGCCAATTCTGACGCGAAGGGGGCTCCACGATGCACCAGCTGATCCAGGAGGAGGAAGGGCGACGACCAGCAAACAGGCACAACGGTGCCGAGGAACACGCGAACGGGAAACTCCGTCCACGAGGCAAAACAAAAACACATATCCGCCCGAGGCGAGGAGCGCGCAGGGAGGACAGGGCGGAGCTCGAGCAGGGAGGGGCGCGGAGGGAGGGCGGGGCAAGGAGGCAGGGAGGAGCGAGGCGTGAGGGAGGGGGGGGGGCTGGAGGGCCGTGGAGGAGGAGGAGGAGGTGGAGGAGCAGGAGGAGGAGGAGGAGCAGGAGGAGGAGGAGGAGGAGGAGGAGGAGGAGGAGAGGAGGAGGAGGAGGAGGAGGAGAGGGAGGAGGAGAAGGAGGAGGAGGAGGAGGAGGTGAGGAAGGATGGGACCCGAGTGGAGGGAAGGAGGGGGAAGGCGGGCTGCAGCGTTCGCAGTCTACAGAGGGCCCTGCACGTGATGCTGGCGACCACCAGGCGAGACTCCGGATGACCCAAGCAGCGCACCTGGCGCCCGAAGGCGGCCAACAGGCGAACACCTTGCAGACCTAGCCAGCGGACGGGCGTCCAGGAGGTGCCCACGGGCGCGAGCAAGCGAACTTCGGGCAGGCCCAACCAGCGCGCGGCCCACGAGGCTCCCACGCGGGCTGCCAACGGACGAGAACTCGGCAGACCTATTGCATTACCTTCTGACAAAATCGAGAACCTCTCAGGGCAAGCAGCGTTCGGGGAACATGAAGAACCCCAGCCTTGCGAACGAAGCTGATCGCGAAGTGAAGCCACGATGCAAACTTAGCAGGCAACGCTTACCCACCAAGCTCCTGCTTGAGTAGCAGCGCGATTGACAGCTTAAAGGTGAATCAAGGACCGTGACTGCTGCTGGTCCTGGACGCGACTTTCGCGGCAACACCGACGCCCTTAGATCGGCCTGGTGGGTGCCGCCACCCCCAAAAACCAGCAATGTCTTGAGCCACGTGATGAGGAAGAGGAGAAGGAGGAGGAGGAGGAGGAGGAGGACGACGAGGAGAGGGAGAACAGGAGCTGGAGAAGAGGGAGAGGGAGAGGAAACCAGAGAATGAGGAGGAGGAGGAGGAAGAGGAAGAGGAAGAGGAGGAGGAGGAAAAGGATGAGGTCGGGAAGTAGAGGCATGGAGACATGGGGAAAAGGGACTGCGAGAGAGAAGGTGGGCTACATTGTGCGGGGAGGTACGGGAGAAGATGACAGGGGGAACGCGGCGGCGGGGAGTAAGCGAGGGAGGGGGATGCGTGAGCGGGCAGGAGGTGGAGAAGGCAAATGAGCAAGGAGGACGTTCATACCAATCTTTCCTCCTCCGACTCGTACTTGCGGTCGTAACTTTCCCTCGCCGCCCACACTGCCTCTTGGCCAGGCAATTGGAAAGAATAAGACGGCCGACCAGAAGGCCGCGGCGATAGGAGCAGGAGGATGAGGAAGAGCGCAAGGAGGGGGGTTGGCGGGAAAAAGGATGTGAGGAGGAGGAGGTGGCTGGGGGAGGGGGGGATGAGAAAGAGAACGAGGATGAGGACCAGCAGACAAGACGGGCGATCAGGAGGCTGAGCCTGTGTCCGTCCCATCCTCGTGCCTGCTCGGGCATTCCTCCGTCTGCTCTTGTTTGTTTATGTGTCCTTCTCTCTCTCTCTCTCTCTTCTCGCTTTCTCTCTCTTTTTGTTTTTCTCTCTCTCTCTCTCTATCTCTCTCTTCTCGTTTTTTTGTTTCTCTCTCTCTCTCTCTCCCTCTCTCTCTCTCTCCTCTCTCTGTCTCTCTCTCTCTCTCTATTTCTCTCTTATTTCGCTCTCATGTTTTGTTTTGAGTCTCTCTCTCTCTCCCTACCTCTCTCGCTCGCTTTCTCCCTCCCTCTCTCTCTCTCTCCCTCTCTCTCGCTCGCTCCCTCCCTCTCTTTCTCTCTCTCTCTCTCTCTCTCTCTTCCTCTCTCTGCGCGCATTCGTGCACCGCCTAGGAGCAGGGGCCACAGCGGCCCGCAAGGGCGAGCGGCCACTGCACCCGCGAGAACTCCCAGAGATCCAACGCATTGGACAAAACAAGACGGACGTTTTTTTTCGTAAAAAACATGTTCGGCCTCCAGGGGCCCTCACCGGGCCTCGGGGCCGTTAAAAGACGACTCGGAATGAAAAACCGGTCTTGGGGAATGGGTCGACCCTTTTGGGCCCCTGCATTGAGAAAATCACGACATCGGATCTCTGGGATCACGACCCAGACATGATCGCGCCGTAAAAAATCAGGACGGGAGGCTTCTGGCCGTTTTCGGCCTCGGGGGGGCCCTCGCCGGGCCTCTGGACCCTCAGAAAACGATTCAGGACGAAAGAACCGGTCCCGCGGAAAGGGTCGGGACTTCCAGGGACCCCGTTCTGAAAAAAACAGGACGTCGCATGCCTGGGGACGGAAGGTTTCTCGATCTTCGGCTTTGGGGGGCCCTAAGCGGGCCTCGGGGCCGTCAGCAAAGAGGGTTCAGGGTGGAACGCCGGTGCAGGGGAAGGGAGCGGCGTCATGAACCCAGACATGCGACGTCTTGATTTCTTCAGAACGGGGTCCCTGGAAGGCCCGACCCTTTCCCCAGGACCGGTTTTTCGTCTCGAGTCGCTTTCTGACGCTCCCGAGGCCCGCCGAGGGCCCCCCCGAGGCCGAAAACGGCCCAAGAAGCCTCCCGTCCTGATTTTTTGTGCGACGCGAGCACGTCTGGGAAGGAAGGACGACGTCGGGGGTCTGAGGTCGGCTACACGCAAGGGTGACCCTGGGTAAGAGTGGCCTTTGGTGCGCGGCTTTTTGGGGGCCGCGGGGAGACCAAACCTGGGCGCGCAAGCCGCTGCTACCGCTTCGTTTTCAACCATCTGGGGGCCCATCTGTGCCCGCACCAAAGGTCACTCTCGCGAAAGGTCACTCTTACGTCTAGCCGATGAGGCCCCTGCTCCTGGTGGGGCCGAAGAGGGCCCACGGGGCGGCCCCTGTCCCTCCGGGGAGGCTTCGGGGTGCCCGCAGGCAGCCGCCGCAGGTGATCCCCGGCTGGCCTGACCAGGCCTCCTCCTCCTCCTCCTCCTCCTCCCCTCCTCTCCTCCTCCTCCTTCTCCTCCTCTCCTTCTCCCTCTTCCTCCTCCCTTCTCCTCCTCCTCCTCCTCCTCCTCCTCCTCCTCCTCCTCCTCCTCCTCCTCCCTCCCTCCTCCTCCTTCCTCCCCTCCTCCCTCCTCCTCCTCCTCCTCCTCCTCCTACCCATACAATTCCTCGAGGGCTAGAACAATTAACACCAGGACCTGGACATCTAAAAGCAGTCGAGGTTCTAAGCAATCCAGATTGGTCTGTAGGTCTGGGGGGGTATTTTGTTTAGCACTCTCAAAGGTAAGAGAGGTCACAGGTGGCCTCGACAGGCCCCCCGAGTAGTCCAGAGCGGTCTCAACACCCCAACCCTGGGGCGCGGCGCGCCCCTGAGAAGGAGGAGGAGGAGGAGGAGGAGGAGGAGGAGGAGGAGGAAGGGGATGATGAAGGGGAGAGAGAGGAGGAGGAGGAGGAGAGGAGGAGGAGGAGGAGGAGGAGAGGAGGAGGAGGAGGAGGAGAGGGAGGAGGAGGAGGAGAGGAGGAGGAGGAGGAGAGGGAGGAGGAGGAGGAGGAGGAGGAGGAGGGCCCCTGGGGCGCCAGGAGGGCCCCTGGGGCGCCGCCGCCGGCGGCGTCGGGGGCCGGCGGCGCCGGGGTGTGGAAACCGCCCTGGCCAACTCGGTGAGCCCGTCTAGGCCAGCGGGGACTGCTCCCAAGAGCGGGTGAATTGCACGCAGACACAACTAGTCGTCGATTCCCATGAAATTCAGGGAACATATGGTCTGTGGGGGGGGCAGACGAGGATCCAGAACATGTTGGGCGAAAGTGGGAGACATCCTGGGATTTGTGTCTCTTGTATTTGTGTGTCACTGGGCCCCTTTGTTCGGGTATAGCCAAGACCCTGGTTAAGGAAAGCCGGTTGGTGATTGGGCCCGAACTCCAAAATACGGATTGGAATCGCTAAACTGGGCCTGTCGTAGCTCCTGTTTTTCGGGTGACGGCGGTTCCGGAAAGTGGGATGGGGCGGGGTGCGCCCCCCCAGTGCACATCACTAAGCCAGGTCCCACCAAACCCAGTCCTGCTAACGCCCGATGTGTGCGGCTGATTACGCCCTACCAGCGCGATCCCCATGAAAATAGGCGGAGAGATAGGAAGTCATGGGGGAGACGAAGATCCAGAAAATAGGCGACAGTATGGGACATCCTGGGATTCGTTTCTCTTTGTGTTTGTGTGTCCCTGGGCCCTTTTGTCTTCGGGGCCCAGGCATGCGACGTCCTGATTCTTTCAGAGCGGAGTCCCTGGAAGTCCCGACCCTTTCCACAGGGCCGGCTTCTCATCCTGAGCCGTAATTTTGGACGCTGCCGAGGTCTGGGCCCCCGAGGCCGAAAACGGCCCAAGAAGCCTCCCGTCCTGATTTTTTGTTGCTACGACGCGAGATCATGGCTGTGGGGGCCTCTCGAGGCCAGCTGGGGCTCTCTGGGCGGGCCGCCCGGCGCGCCAGCCGCGAGGCCCTGCCAGGGCCCTCGCCGGGCAAGGAGGAGGAGGATAAGGAGGAAGAGGAGGGGGAGGAGGAGGAGGGGGAGGAGGGAGGAGGGAGAAGGAGGGAGAGGAGGAGGAGGAGGAGGAGGAGGAGGAGGAGGAGGAGGAGAGGAGGAGGAGGAGGAGGAGGGGGAGGAGGGGGAGGAGGAGGAGGGGGAGGAGGGGGAGGAGGATGGGGGAGGAGGAGGAGGAGGAGGAGGAGAGGGGAGGAGGGAGGAGGAGGAGAGGAGGAGGAGGAGGGGGAGGAGGAGGAGGAGGAGGAGGAGGAGGAGGAGGAGGGAGGAGGAGGAGGAGGAGGGGGGGAGGAGGAGGAGGAGGAGGAGGAGGGAGGAGGGAGGAGGAGGAAGGAGGAGGAGGGGAAGGAGGGGGAAGGAGGGGAAGGGGGAGGAGGGGAGGGGGAGGGGGAAGCACCACCCTTCTTAGAAGGCGCGGGGGCCCTCTCTGAGAAGCTTGCGGCTTCTTCTTGGAGGAGCTGTTCCCGGCGTGATTCTAAAGACGGCTGGCGCCTTCTGAGAGGCAGCCGCCTTCTCAGAAGCCTTCCATCCTCCCCCTACCCCCTTGTGCGCGCCGACATCAAGAGGAGGGTGATGACTAGGCATCATGGCGGGGGGCATGACCCAGGCATGATCGCGTCGCAACAAAATCAGGACGGGAGGCTTCTTGGGCCGTTTTCGGCCTCGGGGGCCCTCTCCAGGCCTCGGCAGCGTCCAAAAATGACTGAGGACGAAAAGCCGGTCCAAGGGAAAGGGTCGGAATTATCAGGGACTCCGTTTTGCAAAAATCAGGACGTGCATGTTTGGGGATATCTCCCAGATTTCATGGCGTGTCTTCAACGCTCAAATGGCATCAAGCGCCGGATAGAAGGAAGAAAGAACGGCATAACCATAAACTTCTGGCTCTCCGCGCGGATTTCTCGGATCCGCGACGGCCCCCCCCCCGGCGGCGCCTCCCGCGTCGCCCCTGGCGCGCTCCGCGCGCCAGGGAGGGCGGGTCCAGCGCAGATCCAAGACATCCGCGCGGAGCGCCCAAAGGGTATGTTCATGCCGTTCTTTCTTCTTGCTTTTTGGGCTTTCTGCTGCTTGAGCATTGAGCCCAGACCTCCGACGTCATGATGTTTTGATTACGTGGTCCCCCAGAGGTCCCGACCCTTTCCCCAGGACCGGCTTTGCATCCTGAGTCGTTATTTGGCGCTCCCGAGGCCAGGTAGGGGCCCCCAGAGGCCGAAAAAAGGGAAAACCTCCCGTCGTGATGTTTTCATGACGCGAGGGGGTCTGGGAGCGCGGAGCGTACTCCTGCTCCTCCCCCGGACCAGGGTCGGGCCCCTATGAGTGCCCTCCCTCCCCCCCTCCCTCGCGGCCGCTTGTGCCCGTCTTCCCCTCCTCCCGCCGCCAGTTCCACTTGCGCCTGCCGCTGCCCGGACCGCCGGGAAGCGCGCGCGCGTGCGGACCGTCGCGGCCGCGCTGCGGCGTGAAGCGCGTGGCAAGAGTCGTCGGGCCTGTCCCTCTACAGGAGGAAGATTCCAAAATAGTCACGAAATATTCGGGGGAGGATTTTTTGACTGCTTTCGAGCATTTGGGTGCATTTTGGGGATATGTTGTATTTTCCGTCCCAAATCCCCTTTGTAGGGGGACATGCCCGACCTAAGGCTAAGACGAGGATACATCTGTTCCAGGGCGTTGCAGAACGCTCTCGGAGCGTTCCAGGACGCTCTGAGAAGGTCGTGGCTCCCGAGAGACATCCTCCAGAGCGGCTGGAGCTCAGAGACTCCCGGGTTCACGGGCTCCTGTTTTCGTCTTAGTTGAGCGTTTCCCCCCCCCTCCCCCTCTCTGACCAGGGGGGGGAGGAGGAGAAGGAGAAGGAGGAGGAGGAGGAGGACGAGGAGGAGGAGATGGAGGTGGAGGAGGAGGAGGAGGAGGAGGAGAACGAGGAGGACGAGGAGGACCAGTGTAAACCCAAGAGTCGAAAACGATGTTTTCAGAAACCCTCCCTCCAAGCTCCTTTTTTCATAGGCACCTACAAGGGCTCATTTCCACTAAGGGAACTGCCTCGTTGGAAGTCAACCGTTTGAAGACCCTGGCGCATGCCAAACAGTACTTTCGGGACTCCAACTCCACGGATCAAGCTGACTGTGATTGTTACATCCTGAAGATCCTGAATCGTGCCAGAAGGCTGTTCCTGTAATTTCAGCACCGCGAGCTACACATACATCTATATTTACATATACACATACATATGCATGGACATGTGCATGCACGTGTAGACACACATAACCCGACGCATCTACCACTATTTATATATGCATCTCCATACACACATATGCATCTACACCTCAACATACGTGTACACACATACACATATCTAGACAATTACATATATACGTATGTACACGTACATATAAATACAACCATACATATAAATATATATATGTACATCAGCATATGCATATGTCTTGTATTATTTGTATCACCTATGGTAGTGCAGTGATAGCCACCGTCTTGTCGATGGGGCACTGCGTACCTCAGGCGCCTGCCCTCTGAGAGGAGAACCCTCCGGGGCTTGAATGCGGGCCCGTCTGTCTGTATATGCGTCTTTCTGTTTGTTTGTCTGTCTGCCTGTTGGGCTCCCCCGCCCCCAAGGCCCCCCCGTCTGCGCCCTACCCTCCGCCTCGCTCTCCCTCGCCCCTTGTCCTCCTCCTCATCCTTCTCCTCCTCCTCCTCCTCCTCCTCTTCTTCCTCCTCGCTCACTTGGTTTGCCACTGCAGCCCAGTCTAAGCCTGACCGCGACGGGCCCGCTCCGAGGCCGCTGACTTACAAAAAGTCAGTCTGCCTGTCTGTCTGTCTCTCTGTCTGTCGGTCTGTCTGTCTGTCTGTCGGTCGCACCCCAGGAGAGGTCCGGGGAGTAGCGGTATGGGTACCTTTCCGTTTCCCAATCTTAGTCTGTCTGTCTGTCTGTCTGTCTGCCTGCCTGCCTGTCTGTCTGTCTGTCTGTCTGTCTGTCTGTCTGTCTGTCTGTCTGTCTGTCTGTCTGTCTGTCTGTCTGTCTCTGAGACTGTCTGTCAGTCTGTCAGTCTGGCTGTCTGTCTCTCTGTCTGTCTTCCGCCCGCAGCTCCTTCCACGTCGGGCCAGCCCCCCCCACACCTGAGGCCCCGAAGGGCCGGAAACAGCCGCCCCGTCGCGGGGAGAAGGCGTCCAGGCGAGCCCGGTCGCGGTCTCGAGGGAGCTCCGCGCGGGCCAGGCGGAGGACCCTGCGATCGGCGCTCCTCCTCCTCCTCCTCCTCCTCCTCCTCCTCCTCCTCCTCCTCCTCCTCCTCCTCCTCCTCCTCCCCCCCCCTCCCCCCTCCCCCCTTCCCTCTCCCCCTCCTCCCCCCCAAGGGGGGGAGAAGGAGGAGGGGGGGAGGAGGATTAGAGGGAAGAGGGGGAGGATCAAGAGAGCGAGGGCGAGTAGGAGGAAGGGGAGGAGCAGGTAGCGGCGGAGATTGGAAGGGGATAAGGACGAGGACTAGGAGGAAGAGGAATAGGAGGAAGAGGAATAGGAGGACGAGGAGGAGACAGCGACGGATGGAGGACGAGGAAAAAGAGGACGAGGAGGAGAATAAAGAAGAGGACGAGGTATCGACGGAGAGAGGAGAGACGGAGTATGAGTAGTTTTAGGATTAGGAGTAGGAGTTGGAGTCGGAGGAGGAAAAGGAGGGGGAGGAGGAGGAGGGGGAGGAGGAGGAAGAGTAGGAGGAGGAGGAGGAGGAGGAGGAGGAGGAGGAGGGAGGAGGAGGAGGTATCGACGGATGGAGGACGAGGAGGACGAGGACGAGGAGGATAATGGAGAGGAGGACGAGGTAGCGACGGAGAGAGGAGTAGGAGTAGGAGTAGTAATAGTAGTAGCTTAAGAAGTAGGAGTAAGAGTATAGGAGGAGGAGGAGGAGGAGGAGGAGGAGGAGGAGAACGAGGAGAACGAGGAGGAGGAGGAAGGCAACATAAGAAACATTGCTGGCGCAACTGGGGACCGAAATCAGATCGGCAAGGTGGTTTGGCACAGCTGATGCAGCCGCAATGGCGGTACCGATGGTCAGGAAGCCTCAGGAGGCCCCAGGAGGCCTCAGGAGGCCCCAGGAGGTTGCAGGAAGCCCCAGCGAACCCCAGGCAACCCCAGGAGGCTTCACGAGGGCCCAGGAAGCCCCAGCTTCAGGACGCCCTAGGAGGTGTCAGGAAGCCCCAGAGAATCCCATGAAGTCCCAGAATGCCTCAGGAGGCCCCAGGAGGATCCACGAGGCCCTGTGGAAGCCCCGGGAAGCCCCAGGATGTTACAGGTGATTTTGGGAGGCCCCAGGGGGCCCTAGGCGCTCGACGAATTGGCGAGCGAAAAATGTGCGCCGCGCCCGAGCGGGAGCGCAACTTTCAGAAAACATGCGCGCGGCGCCGAAGCGAGAGCGACATTTCGCCCTGTCGCGCGCGATGTGCACCGCGCTCCATTCCTGCCACGCATTTCGCACAGCCGACGACAAGAAAGTCCTCGCTGAGAAGAAACATGTCAACTTTGTATGGATTGTGAAAAGTAGGATGGCCCCTCCCGCTTGGGGTTGCCCCAGACGTCCGCGCGCGATGTCTGCCGCGTCCCATTCTTGCTACGCATGTCGCATCGTCGACGACATGACAGGCCATGCTGAGAGGGAAAACGGAGACTTCGTATTGCTTTCTTATTGTCAGGATGGCAGGGCCCGGACGGGATTCCTATCATCCCGGCCAAACGGGGAGTAAGAGTATACTCTAATAGCGAATAAAGATAGGAGTGGGAGGAGGAGGAGGAGGAGGAGGAGGAGGAGGAGGACCGAGGATGACGAGCAAGAGGAGGAGGAGTTGGAGGAGGAGGAGGAGGAGGAGGAGGAGGAGGAGGAGGAGGGGGAGGAGGAGGAGGGGGAGGAGGAGGAGGAGGAGGAGGAGGAGCGGATGAAGCAGGAGCCAGCAGCAGCAGGAGAAGCAGGAGGACTAGGAGGGGGGAGTACGAGAAGGAACGCTGTTGTTTACTGTTCGCCCATCGGCTTCACCCATAGTCGGGCACTCCATCTCGGATTTCACAGCCATCATGCCGATTGTCAGGACGACCGCGAAGACCACAGATGCCGAGGGAAGTAAACCACGAGGCCTCCCCGAGCACCAGCCGAGAGGAAGGAAGAGGAGGAGGAGCCACCCCCGCACCGGCAGCGCTGGCTCTTGTCGTGGAAGGAAACGGGGTGTGGCCTGTCGAGCGCGATTTCGAGCTCCAAGCCGAACTATCTGGCCTCCTTGCTGCGCGACCTCACCGAGAGCGCTGAGGTCGATGGGGCTCGCCAGCGGTTCCGCCCTACTCGACAAGGCGCCTGCCCTCCAGGCCTGCCTCCACGGCGCCGTCGCCAACATGTCGGCGCAGGGAGCGGACCTGTACCAACTGGCATGGGCGACGTCCTACTCGTGGGCTCGACCGGCGCCGCATCCAGATGGCGCTCCGAGATGGTTTCTCGCATCAGCTCCGATAGCCTTTGCGGTGCCACTGAGGAGTGCGTCATCACGATGTTGGAGTCCGGTGGCAGCGGCGGGGCTTCCAGATGGCAGTCCCGACTCTACCACACCATTGTCTGACGAACCAGGAGGTACTCGACCTGAAGGGCCTCCACGGCCCCATGTGCAGGCGCAGGGGCACTGCGGTGTGTCGGCGCGACGCTCTCGGCGGTGTCCTGGCATCATCACCAGACGCATGGGTGTTCCTGTTCCCGCCGCGAAGCATCCGCCAAGTGAGTTTCCTGACGAGCGCCGCCCAGGCATCGACTCGATGACTACGGCGAGCGGCTGGTGCGGCAGTGCCTGGACGCCGCCGCAGTGACACCGCATTTCAGGGCACTCCCAGGAGATGCGCGCCTGCACGGGGACAGGGCGCTGATTGGGCACGAAGAATGCAACAAGGGACGCAAGTACCAAATGCTCGGCCTCACGCCTTTTGTGCTCTCCCACCCCGGCCGCATGCGCGGGAAATGGCAAGGCATGATCAAGGCCTTCGCCAGTTGCCTGTCGGAACGCGAGCGATCGTCTGTCATCGACGAGTGCTGCGAGCATCTGGCGTTGGCCGCGTGAGCAGGGATGTCAGGGCATGATCCAGGCCCTCGCCAGTTGCCAGTCGCAGCGCAAGCGGTCGTTTGGCATCGACGGGTGCTACCAGCATCTGGCGTCGACACCCCATCGTGGCAGTGCGGCCCTCTTCTTGGCATCGCTCGCTCGGAAGTTTGCATTGTTTCTCGGAGAGGAAACGTCCTGAATCCTCGTGTAAGAGGAACGCGCGCGAAACCGATGCATACATGGGGAATGGACGTCCGAGCGCTGGCAGGTCTTGGCCGCGCGCGCGCGCCCATGGTCCCCTGGAGCCCCTCGCCCCCTGCTGCTTGCTCCTGCGGTCTGCCTGCTTGCCGGCCCCAACTTCGTCGTGCCTGCCCCAGTAGACGTCCGCCCCACGGCTGGACGGGCGCCAGGCATGACGGCCGGAACCCCCCCCCCCCCTCCCCCCCCCCCCCCCCCCCCCCCACCCCCCCCCCCCCCCCCCCCCCCCCCCCCCCCCCCTTTTGGCCCCTATACCGTGCGCAAGCGTCGAGCCTTTGATGTGCCCTCCAAGCGAAGGAAAACAGCAAAACATGACGCCTCTCGGCGGCCTTGAAAGCCCCCCTCCGAGCAGCCTTGTGCATTGTGCCTCCCGCGCCCGTCGATCCTTCTCCCACGCCTTTCCTTCCCTCGTCCATGCCTACCCCTTTCCCCCGCGTCCTCCGCCGTCATCCTTCCCTGTCCCACTTCTCTTCATTTCTTTCATCCTTCTTCCTCTCCGTCTCGTTTCCCCCCCCTCGCCCTGCCCTCTCCCCTCCTTTTCTCCCCTCCGTGGCCATAGTTGTTCAAGCCATTGGGCAGGAGTCGGCGGCGGTTTGCCTCCTTGTGGGGGGATCTCAGACCCGGCCCGGTCCGCAATGAGGCTGTACTTGCGGCGTGCCCGGCGGCAGTGGCAGCGGCGGCGGCTTTCGGCGCGTTCTCAACCGTGTCGCAGCCTGGCCTCGAAGGCAAGGTCCTGTACTCCGCGGTCGCTGCTGCCGCCCGTGGTGCAACATCTGCAGCTGGAGGTCCTCGGCAAGACGCCGACGTGCAGCGGGCTGGCGGGGTCGCGCACGTCGTGCTCTGGGAACGTGCCCTCGGCGTCGGGGCGCGGGCTCTCAACCTCGACGAGAAGCCCCTCGCTCACGGCGGCGAAGCGCGCCTTTCGTCAGTATGGAGGCGGGGCGCTCGCATCGTGGCGTGGTCGCTTCAGCAAGCCGAGGAATTTGGAAGTTCACTTGGACGTGGACCTCTTCTGCGACCTGTCGTCCTTCCTGGAGGGCAAGGGCGCCGGCAGTTCCACGGGCAGCGCGCTGCTTGCCGAGCAGCATCGGTGGTGAGGAGGACCTCGACGGCGGGGGCGTGAACCTCATGATGGAGACCAGCCTCGCTTCTAAACCGATGGCCGCCGGCGCGGCCAAGCAGAGGATCGATGCGGCCGCGGGCGTCGCCGTGGATTTGGAGGCCAAGCTGGCGGAGGCCAGCGCTGCGCACGTGGCCGTTTGCGGGGCGGCTCCCGATGCGGGCGCGATGCCGCCGCAACGCTTGGTGCAGGCTGTCACCGTGGCGGAATCGTCCGGGAGGCGTGGGACGTCGCTCGAGGCGACGGCCGAGTTCTGAGTGCCTCGCAGGCTCGTGCTCTTTCTTGCGGCATGCCCGGCGCTGTCGCGCGCCGCCGCGGCGGCTCGTGCTCGTCCTGCGGCGGCTGCCCTGGGGGTTGCGGCGGCGCGTGCCCCCCGTGCGCCCGTGGGGGCTGCTGGAAAACATGCCACGCGCGAGTGTGGCTGTGATCCGAAGGTCCCATAGTCCCCCCCCCGCCTCTCCCGCTTTGAGTCGAGCATGTGTCTCCACAGGGAAAAATCAAGATGGGTAAACCAAAGATTCGTCTGGGGGCGATGCTTCGACTATGTTGGATTACTTTTCTAATTCTTGAATCGCTTCCCTCACTTCGCCGGCCCGTACTGTGCCATCGCAGGCGCTTGCCTGCGCGTTCTTGACCTCTTGGAGGCCGGTTGGTGGTTCTTGGAGCCATTTTTTTAACCTTTTGGCAATATTTCTGGGACCTCCTAGGGCGTCACGGGGGCCTCATGGGGGCCTCTTGGGGGTCCGTTCGGGCCCCTCGTCTGGGCCCGCTCTTGGAGGCTTCTC